TCATTTTCTTTCATTGGTAGATGTCAACAGAAGGAAAGGAAAGAAGGTAATAAAATCATGGAATTACTTAAAAAAAATTTGAAAGCACAAAACTAGTATTATAGGGATGACTGCCCAAGAAAACATCAGCTATAAAGGGGAGACAAGCTCATTCATGACCACCATTCCACAGTTGAGTTCCCAACTCTGTGTTAGAAATGTAACAGAAATTCTCATGTGCTTGAAGTTAGATTTCAGACTGAACTTGCGGCCTGTTATGGACTAACTGTTTTTGCACCCCCCACATTATATGTTGAAGTCTTAACTCTGAGGTGATTGTATTTAGCAGTTGGGGTCTTTAGGTGGTAATTAGTTTAGGCAAAGTCACAAAGATGAGGGACCTGTGATGGGATTGATGAGTATTCTTGTATGAAGAGAGACCAGAACTCTTTCTCCCTCTGCTATGTAAGGACATGGAAAAAGAAGGCAAGAGTTTACAAGCCAGGAAGAAAGCCTTCATCAAAACCAAATCTGCTGGCACCTTGACCATGGGCATCTTATCGCCCAAAACTCTGAGATACAAATGTTGCTGCCCAGATTCTGGTAGTATGTTATAGCAGTCTGAAGTGACTAATAGAGAGCTAAGTTCACTGACAAAGTGATAACCAGACAAAGGAGAACAAGGAAGCATGAACAACAGTCCAAACCAGACACAACCTGACCCAAACCAGATCCTGCTAAAGCTAAAAGCAGTTAGGACTCCATCTTTGGGGCAGAATATTGGTTAGTTATAGGAAAAAACCATCCATCTTAGTTATTTAAAAAGCAAAATGAAAGTGGGAAACTTGACTTTAAGAAGTATAAAGGATAAAAAAGACTTTGAGATTGGTTCAGTTTCTTCTTTGTGGATCATTTTCTCTAAATGGAAATGTTTTTATTTAAAGTATGACTTTAGGCTTGCTCTGTAACTGAAAACCTATCGCCTGGGGGAGATTTCTGAGCATTCTGATAAATAGACGCCAAGGGCCAAAAATTTAAGAAGCAGTATTCATGAGTTTAGTGAGCACCTGTGCATATGCTTCTGAAGAGACTAGCTATCTAAGGATGAGTGTGTGTGCATATGTGTGCACAGAGATGTGCAAGTGTGTTCATTTGAGATTGTTCATATCCGTGGGATGCTAAAGTGATGGAGCCAACCATGCTCTAACACCCCTGAATGTCTTTGGGAGAATGCCTGCTCACAAAGGCAACAGGAAAAGTGACACAATGTCTTGATGCAGAGGCTATATCATATTTGAAAGTGACCTGGCTTCTTCTGCAGGGGAAATATTATTTTCAGAATTCTCAGAAGTAAGCAAACACATAGTTATGCGGACAGAAGTGTGTGCCTACATTTTTGCCTTGGTAGCTTACATAAATGTTACCTCAATGGGACTGTGAAGTCTAGGATTTGCAGGTTGAATGTGGTTTTATAGGGGTAGAAATGGGGATAAAGACAGGGATGGGGAGACTGAGGTAGATATAAAGAAGAGGTAGGAGCTGGAAAGGAGGTATAGTGGCAGAGAAGAAGTTATTGGGGAGACAGAGATGATAGGGGTTGGGAGAGAGATGAAAGGGAGAAAAAGGAAGAGATAGAGCTAGAAACTGAAACTTAAATACAGATGATGTTAGACAAAAGATGAAGAGACAAAGAGATGAAAATTAAGAGATCAGCTGCTGAGACAGACACAGATGAAAACATCAATTCTACAACTGTTCTTAAATTCTCAGTTGCCCTGGCAGAGAACATGGGCAGAATTTTTTCCAAATTTGAACTGAGAAGGAAAATATCCCAGAATGAATTTGTGGTTTAGGACTATGTTTAGAGAAACATTATAATGCTACATAATTAAGCTCAAGGTAAGGATAGGTGTTATTCTTCTGCTTTAGGGTTCGGTTTTCAAAATCACTCAAGAAAGAAAAAAAAATTACAAGTATAGAGGAGAAAAAGAAAAAGAAAAAAATCTGACATTAAAGGTATAATGGAGTAAGTTGTGGATATGATATATGCTAATTTTCTGGGGTTTTCAAAATATTATTAATGCCAAAATATGTAATGTAGGGAAACAGGTAGACTTTAGACTCTTGCCTGGACTCAATTCTAAGTTGTACCCACTTCCAGATGTGTGAAGATGTATGCTATCAAATAAGCTGTGCTTAGCAGTTAGCACACTACCTAAAATTAATTGTTATTTAATTTTTCACCAGATGATATCTTTACTATTCAAATAGGAAAAGATAAAAATGTCTTACTGATTTTTAAGCACCTCTGTATGGTACTCAGCACTGTGTACAGTTTTTGGGATTTATAAAGGAATTCCAAGAATCAGCATTTCCCTTAAAAAAAAAAAAAACAATGCTAATGATTCAGACATCACCCTAAACATTTTGGACTCTCCTGAAGAAACAGAGGAAATGCCGGGAATCCAGCATCTCCTTGGCAGGAGAGCCAAGGAAGTAGGGAGATGCTTTGGAGAAGGGGGTGCAGGGCAACTGGTGACATTCTTGGAGCATGTGTTAGGAGACAGGCTCTTTTTCATATGTAGATCTTAAACAAACAAAAATGCTTTTTTTCAAAAATGAAGAACAGGAAGGTTAAAACAGGTCCTGCCTGAGGTTGGTAACAATGGGAAGGGGAAGGATATAAGGAAAGGGCAAAGGAAGCTGAATGAGGTGGAGATATTATGTACTCATGTATGAAAATGGAAAAATGAGACATACTGAAGCTATTGCAGGAATGGGAGGGGGATAAAGGAGAATGATGGAGGGGGTGAATTTAACTATGATATATTGTAAGAACTTTTGTAAAACAATAATGTAATAAAAAAAAAAGAAAAGCTTTTATGAATGAGAGAGCCTTGTACTATGAGTCAAAGGTAAGGCTTAGATATTTAAACAGGAACTAGTAGAAGTGAGGTCACAAAGCCAGGCTGCAAAAGGTACAGTCTACTTCCAAAAACCACAATAACCATCTGTCACATTAGTATACAAAATAACTTAAAACAATGATAAAAAATAAACTTGAAAATAAACCCTTGACATATATTAAAATCATAATTGTGCATTCCTCTTGACTATATACCATTTCTAGGAAGTTCTCTTAGGAAAAAAGATCACACAAATGTACAAGAAATGTATGCTCAAGAACTTTCACCATGATATTTTTTTATATCATGCTAAACAACTGAAAACCACCTAAATGATCATTGAAGGGCAACTGGCTCACTCATGGAAGATAAATACAACAAAATTTACTCAGTCATTCAAGTGATTCTATACCTCTATTTAATGGTGTGGAAAGATGTGTGGAGTGAAAGAGAAGCTTTGAGAACAGTGCCCTATAAAGACATTTGTCTAGAATAATGACCAATAGCTAGCATGAGCCTTGAGTATATCTGGATTGCATAACTGAAGGTAAGTCTTACCTTCTTAACACTTTGAAAGAAGTTTATTATTGGCATTATTTATAACTAGCACATAGCACTTATAAATACAGAAATAATAATAATTCTATTTTTTTTTTACTTTTTTTTTTTTTTTCCGGTGCTGGGGAATAATTCTATTTTGATTTTGAAAAAGAAATCTTCCTCAATCCTTGACAATTCTGTAGTATAGATAATGGTTGGCTGGCACCAACCAAAGATTGATAAAATAAGCTCCAATGTCCTCAAGTCTGTACCATTCACTGCCTTTTTATGGGACAGATTTTGGGTGCAACCACTGGCCTGGAGAATCCCCCTCTCATCAGGTGTCTTTTGTAAGAGATTATAGAAAAGATGACCCCAATTTATCCTGTATGTAGATGCATTGTTCTAGTCTTCTTTCATTAGTGGATTGTGAACTTCTCAGGTTCTCAAGGCCTGGAAAAGTGTCTTACTAATTCTTTCCTTTCTCTAAAGCTTAACATAGACACAAAGTAAGCAGTTAATTTGTAGAATGGGATTAATATAAACTGTCATGCTTTGTTTAAAGATTTATTAGTCAGCTTTCCATTATTGTAACAAATACCTGCAATAGTCAGTTTATGAAGAAAAAAGGTTCATTTTAGTTCACAGTTTTAGAAGTTTCAAGTCATTATCAGTTCGCCCACTGCTTTTGGGCCTGTGGCATGGCAGTAAATCATGGTGGGGAGTGTGTGGTAGAATAAAGCCACTCACCTCATGGCCAAGACGAGGAACTGAGAAAGAGAAAGGAGCTGTGGTTCCATGGTCCCTCCAGGGGCACACCCTGAGTGACCAGAGGACATTCCACCTCTTAAAGTTTCCACCACCTCCCTATAGCACCACGCTGGGGCCTTTGACACACAGGCTTTTGGAGAACATTCCAGATTCAAACTACAACAGTGGAAGCCTCTGATCAAAAGCTTACCACAGTGTTGTTCCTTCCAAAAGGAAGGAACAACAGCACAAAAGGATGCACTGGATAAATTCACACCATCGCCCATCACCTGAATCTAGTTTTACAAAAGTGATGCGTCTTGGCTTGCGGTTTGTTTTTTCCATCAGCAACGTAAGAGATTAATTTAATTGTAATTGGCATTACAATATATGTGCATAAACACCTAACACAGCTGAATGCAGATAATCTCATGTGATTTGTCTATCTCGTGTCCTGCAACCATGACTGCTTTTCATCACAGCACCTGAGGGCTCTGGTCTGATCTCCTCAAATTTATTGCTTTGTTCTGTTTCAAATAAGAAAAAACACACCCAATAAAAGCCCATCATAAACTCTCCTTTTGATACAACATAGGCATTAGTATAAAAGCCAAAATTGGATAGAATATTTCATTGAGATTCATAAACTTGACATGAAGCAACTGCTCTTGACTAGCCATCAGTTCTTTTCTTCCCAGAGGAAGGATTGCCATCATTACTGATCAGTAGGAGTGATAATGAATGACAGCAGGCTTCCTTTATATGCACTTGCTAGTTTATTGGCTCAAACTATGGAAATCTGAAATTCTGGGTTGTTTACTTTACCTTGGCCAGATGAGAGTTGATCCATTTTGTGAAAGTACGTTTTTGTACAATCTCTTGCTCATCTAGAAGGAAAAAAATATTTTGTTAAGATAACATAATAGCATGAAATGCTATCATAAAAATGTACTTATACAACTCTACAAGTAATCATAAAATTATTTTATCTTCTAATTAATTTTACTAATTATTGTCTGAAAGGTTCAACACAACTCCAAACATATAAATGATTGACCTAGTCTTCTAAAAATTATCAGCAAATACTTTAAAATTTGCAATATGTTAGTCCTGTGTTTACCTTCATCATTTATTAAAAGTTCACTAATGAATTACCCTCAACCAAACTGTTAAAAATAAAAGTTTGTCGAAACAAGCACCAAGATTTATTCTAGATGCAAAAGGGCACAGAGAGATGAACAGGACAAGGTCTTCACCATGAAAGATGGTGACATGGAAACAGACAAGCAAGGGCATAGACATAGCAGACGGTGAGCTCGTAATGCAGAAAGACAGAGCTGCACACGTGAAATACTATAGGAACTTAACCCAAGTGAAGAGTGGGAGGCAAATACACCCTAGGATGACCTTCCCAAGCCCACCACTTGAAATTCACACTTTTGTGTAAGCAGAATGTGTGTGGAACCTGTGACTTGTTTCTAGGAGAAAGGTGGTGGGTTTTCACACCCAAGATCTTGTCACTTTAAGTTACTGCAGTTTAACTGACTGGAGTCAAAGAACCTTCCGCCTTCAAGACCCAAATAGCCATGCTGTGAAGAGCCTAAGAAGATAGTCAATGGCAGGGACACAGGCTCCCCTGAGGAGTGGAGCAAGCAGCCAGTAGAAGTCTTGGCCTTGTCCTTATAGCCACAAGGGAACAAGGCTAAAAGGGGATTCACCTGAGAAGGGCCTGCAGGTGAGGCTCAGGTTCTCCTTATGTATATGTCATCCTGACACATGTAGCCTGTGAGGCCCTGAGCAGATGCACTAAGCTAAGCTGTGCCTGGATGCCCAACCCACAGACACAGAGATGATAAATGCATGCTATTTTAAACTGCCAAACTTGTGGGAAACTGTTATGCAAAGAGAGAAAACTAACATGGAAGGGAAAGGACAGGTTTGGGAAGAGTTCAAATAGAGGTTTAAAAAGATCAATGCCAGAGAGAGGGTGCAGTTCTATACCCTTAAATGAGGTGTGAAACCTATTTACCACAGCCAACATCTAATGGGTGCCAACTGTTCATAGAATACTAGAGTCGACGCTGTGGGCAGTGCAAGTAAACAAGATAGAATCCCTTCCTCTGCCTTTGAAGATGTCTCCAGATCTGACCTTTCCTGGGCTTTGGCTCAGATCATCTGACTTTGTACAAAATATGACCTCATCAAATGTGACAGACAAGAACAAGTGAATGAATAAATGCATGAGGAAAAGAGATAACAAAACCTTTTAATTTGGAGAGACTGAATATATCCATAAAATTTACAGAAGACCATTATTTCTAATGTATTTTCAACATGCTTTTTGTGTTTTAACTTTCAAGTACACAACAAAAATAAACCATTATTACTATAGACAATATTTCCTATGTAACAGATACTGACAAATATATAACTATATTTTAAATATTGTAACTAATTATTATGTGTTTTATCATTGTGTACAATATATAATACATACATTAGTTCATTTAATTCTATAACAAGCATAAAAACAGGAACTATTAATATTCCCATTTTATAGATAAGAAAACCAAGGCATCTGGAAGTGAAGTATTTTTTCCAAAGTCACCCAATGTCAGAGCCATGTTTATGACTCCAGAAAAGAAATATGATCCCACAACATTGTACTGCTACTCAAGAATAACATAAAAATTAAGATATTAGTCTCATGATAAGTGAGAGCACACAAGGGCGATATGAGGATAGGTAAGACACCCAAAAAACAAGATAGCATTTGTTGCCTTCAACGCAGAGAAACTAAAGCAACTGAGGCCAATAGAAGAAGGGGACCAGGGACTAGAGAAAAGGTTAGATCAAGAAGAATTAACCTAGAAGGTAACACACACGCACAGGAAATTAATGTGAGTCAACTCCATGTATAGCTATCCTTATCTCAACCAGCAAAAACCCTTGGTCCTTCCTATTATTGCTTATACTCTCTCTTCAACAAAATTAGAGATAAGGGCAAAATAGTTTCTGCCGGGTATGGAGGGGGTGGGGGGAGAGGGAGGGGGCGGGGGGGGGTTAAGGGAGCGGGTGGGGGCAGGGGGGAGAAATGACCCAAGTATTGTATGCACATATGAATAAAAGAAAAAAGAGAATAACATAAAAATTAAGATGTTAGTCTTACTCAATATTAGCCACCTGAAAAGGACAAATTCACTGTTAAATAGATTGAGTTCAAGCTTGGGGTCTTCACGTTCCATAAATAGAGTCACTGTGATCTCAAGAAACCAGACTAAGTGTGATGGAACCCAGAGCTTCAGACATAAACGGCAATTCTAAGCCCAAAACAGATGCATCTAGTGTGTGCAAATTTTTACACTTAATTTTGAGAGCATGTACGTTTTTATAAACCAAGTTGTCATTAGAGGAGATAAACCAATTGGGAGTATGGTTCATATGTACATGGAAACACCACAAGGAAACTCCATGAATAACTACCTCTATCTCAAACAAGCAAAAATGTCATGTTTTTCTTTTTCTCTTTTCTCTTCTGCAAAATCGGAGAACTGGATGGTGGAACAGGTCCTGCCCAGGGGAGGAGGGAGGGAGAGGTGGCAGGGAAAAAGGATAGGAGGGTGAATACGGTGCAAAAAACGTGAACACATGCATGTAAATGTGAAAATGGTACCTTTTGTAACTACTCCAGGAATAGGGGTGGGGATAAAGGGGCATGGTAGAGGGGGTGAGTTCAAGTATGGTATAGTTGATACATTGTAAGAACCTTTGTAAATGCCACAAGGTACCCCACCCAGCACAACGATAAAGGGAGAAAATGGGGAAAAAAACCATAATATATGAGCAACATCTTCCAATAAACAAATTCATTGTTAATCATGTAAATTTCCTTACAGATCAATTATTTCAACAAGAAAGACTTGAGTTCTCCCAAATTTAGTATAATCAGAACTTTTCCTATGTTATATTCAATGAACTTCAGAATAATACTGAAATAAACGAGCATAATGGGTTAAGGTAGGGTGTCATAAACTGAAGACTACCTATAATATATTACTTCCCCATTTAAAATTGCTGCATTTTTATTACCGCCTCTAATGAAGTAACTCTGCATTGTAAGCATTTTACTTTAGTAGATCACTGAGTTTCTAGTTGGACTTTAGCTAAATGTCCTTCTTTTTGAAAGCCCAAATGATCTTTCTGAGCATTTTATACATTTGAATGCCAGATTCTCTACCTGCTACCTGCAGAACACATCATCTCAAAAGTCTACTTTTTATGTTTATCTGATACAGTCAGCTGAATTCTGAGCAATATTTTCTATTTTACTTATAATTTTCCTGAAAGAAAAGATTCTAAAACTTCATCATGCTAATAAATCTCATTTTTATATCAAACCTGAATAATTTACTTTCAGATTTGGTAAGTCTGACACCAATACCATAAAATGTTTGAATTGCAGAAGAAATGAAAACATGCAGTGAATATCCACCAAGCAACATAAAAAGTTATTGCTGTTGACAAGGAATGGAACGAACCCCTACAATACAACAGAGGTCTATAATGGTTCCTTTATGTATATGTCATTGTATTTGAGGGAACACTGTTTAAATATATTTTAGAATTATTTGATGTACTCTTATCAAGTGCTAATATATACACATGTAATCGTATTTCTACTAAAAATCTAACTTACACATTTGGCTGAATAGTAAAATTTGACTGTAGCCTATAAATAAATTTAGTACTGTCATTCTACAAGTCATCAAAAGCAACACTTTCATCCTGTGTCAGTTTTATTCCATAATTTCTTTTAATGAAGCATAAGATCCACCCACTAATTACCCAATCAGGTGGATATTATCTTTGATTCTTTGTTCTTCCTCATCCCCACACTGAATCCCCAAGGAAACTGTCAATTTTAACTTGTAGACTCTCTCATCTGTAAGAATATCCATCTGGTTCAAGTTGCTAGCATCTTTTGGACATATGCACCCTTCATGGTCTTACCCATTACTACCACGCAGGTACTTAAGAAATAAATGGATGGACTGGGGGTATAGCTCATTAGCATAGCACATCCTGAGCATTTGAGAGGTCCTGGCCTCAATCTCCAGCATCCTACTCCATCCTCAATAAAAAAGAAAGAAAGAAATGAATGGACTTTCTAAGGAAGTACTGAGGACAAAAATATTGCCCCGTCCTGGACAAACTGATAGTACAATGAAAGAGACAGGCATATATACAATAGCTTAAAGCAAAGTATCAACGACTATAACAGCAAAACATACAAATGCTAAGAGAGCACAAAAACAAGAGCAAGTAATTCTACAGAGTAACAGAACGGGCTACAAATAGGAGGTGCTGTTAGGTCAGACATGAGATGATAGGGCAGAAAGGGAGCCTGGAAACAGACCAGAATCTGGTTATTAAAGCCTTTGTTTAGCATTCCAGGTTGCTTGGTCTCTATCTGGCAAGAAATAGGAAGCCATCAGGGGTTTGGGTAAGACAAGGATGTGTTCATATCAGACCTGAGACACTGATCTAGAGAGCATAGAGGTTTAATTGAAGGGAAAAGAGACTGGGACTGGGAGATTTGGGATGTAATAGTAGAATATATGCTGCGGGTGATGAATTCTGTTCTATGGCAATGCCAATGATGATGGGAATCCATAAAATGGCTGAATGGGAACTTATTAGAAGTAGAATAGAAAGGTAGTAGAGGTAAGGGCAAAGGATGCTTAGATTTCAGAATCCAGATGAGATGGCAGTGTCACGCAGAGTAGAAATTTGGCTTGAGAAGTCAAATGAAGAAGTGGGTACTCTAAGACATGAGGCTGTAATGGGCTCTGATTTAAGTCCAAGTTTTTGTCTGAATGAGCACCAC